CTGGACAAAAGCCATGGATGAAGGACATCCAGTAGATGTTATCTACTTTGACTTCACCAAGGCGTTTGATCGCCTTCCACATCAGCGCCTCATCCGAAAGCTGTCCGACTTTGGAATAACGGAAAATCTCCTGAACTGGATTGAAGATTTCCTTGGAGACCGTAGTCAAAAAGTTACTGCAGGTGACTACTGTTCAGGGTGGGCACCTGTCAAAATTAAAATACCAGAAGGGTCAGTTCTTGGGCCGCTCATCTTCATCTTTGCAGATGATCTCGCACTGTGGAGGTTGATTACAACCGAAAAGGACTCCTAAATACCGCAAAAGGACATAGACCACCTGCACCCTTGAAGCAAGAGTTGGTTCACGATATTCAACCCCAAAACGTATTTAGTAGTGCACATGGTACCAGCAAGACGTCACAGAAATGCATTCTCACGACAATATATCTCGCGAGACCAACCTTTTGAAACCGTGAGTGTGCAAAGAGACCTTGGTGTACTTATCAAAGATGACATAAGTGTCACAATATAGTGCTCCAAAGTCTCAGCGAGAGCAATGCCTGCCATGGGCGTCATACGAAGACCGTTTGTTAACCTCCATGCAGATATCTTCCGGAAAATGTATGGAAAATGCGTGCGGCCGCATCTGAAATATGCGATACAGGCTTGGCGGCCTTGGCTTGAAAAAGAAATGGGGATTCTCCAAGGTGTTCAACGATGGGCTACTAAGACGGTCCCTGAACTAAAGCAGTTCACATACGAACAGCGTTTGACTGCTTTGAATCTCGTTCCCCTCCATCATAGACAAGAGAGAGGTGACCGTATAACAACTGGCCTGGATGTCAACTGGGAGGATTTCTTTCAAACGGCCCCAATAAGGCACCTTCGAAGACAAGATTGCCAGATAACGAAGTAACTGAGCCGCACAAACCAACGCTCATCCTTCTTCTCTCAAAGCGTCATTCGACACTGGAACTCCTTGCCAGAGTCTGTTGTGAATTCCCCCACTGTGTACGTGTTCAAGAAACGTTTGGATAATCATCTGTAAAATGCCAATCCAAACTCTCAAATACTCACCTAACATAAATGGCTACAAACAAACATATTACTTGATTGAGTTCAATATAGCTTGTATTTACACTAAACATCGTCAGTTTCGTTGGAAGCTAGAGACCGTGACGATTCCGTACACAGACTTGAAGCCGGCCGAAGGCTTGGCTGGCTTTAAAGATCCGTCGAGCAACCTCAATGTTGCGGGATAGCGTGCTACCGAGAAAGGTGAGGTTGTCCACATTCTTAACGTGAGCGCCATTTACGTTGATGTGTGGAGCACCGTAGTCAGCACCCGGCGGCGGTTGGTGCACGGTCACCGTTTTTTCTGTGTTGATTTTGAGACCAAAGTTTCTGCAACCTGTGGTGAAGAGGTCTTTACTGCTTTGCATGTCGGCTTCGGTTGTGGTGTTAAGAGAACAGTCGTCTGCAATCAACAGGTCATTAACTGTGGTCGTTAAGACGCGCGTGGGGGCGAACATGCGAAGGTGCCCGTGCGTTCAGTAGTTGATACGGATCCCAGGACGCTCGTCTCGGTAGCCGTCATCAGCAGAAACCATGTGACTGAAGAGAGTATGCGCGAGGCTACAGCCCTGCTTCATTCCATTGGTCACTGCAAAGGCTTCGGAAACCATTTCGTCTTCGATGACGCGCGCCGTCACCCGTCGCTGAGCTGGCCTATCAAGTGAGTGAAGGGCTCCGGACAGTCGAACTTTTGTATGACCTTTCAAAGTTCAGCGTGATTCACCGTGTCAAAGGCTTTCGTTAGATCCACGATAGATCTGTACAGGTAGGTGCGCATCTCCTGGCACTTCTCCTGCAATTGACGAGCAGCGACGATCATGTAGGTGGTGCCGCGATGACGGCGAAAACCATATTGGCTTTCCGACAGGAGTCCTTGATCCAGGTGGTTGTTGAGACTGTATAGGAGAACCCGAGGGAAGGCTTTGCCAACTATGTTTAGCAGCGAACTTCCATGATGATCGTCACAAACTTGGCGATTCCATTTGCGCTTGTAGAGGTGGAAAATTGTGGCGTTCTTAAGTCCTGGGGGACTTAGCTTTGTCACCATACCTCTCGGAAGAGCGTAGTTACGTGGGAGATGAATTGGTGGCCACGGTATTTGTAAATCTTCGAGACGGTTGCATCAGAGGTAGGTCCTTGCACACTGGAGAGATGCTGCACAGCCTCGATAGCTTCCTGGAGGGCAAGTGGGAGGCCGAGATCTGCATTGGTTTCCACCTGAGGCACTTAGTCGGAGTTGATGGAGGCGCAGTTGAGTACACTTTGAAAGTGCTCGGC